AGTTAAGGCGTCTTCCGAGTGATTTGATCGTAAATGAGGTCCATTGCCAGTAGTAGCTTCGTTGTACGACGCATATGAACAATCAAATCAACAGTGCTCCCCGGGTCACGGACTGCCCAAGGAACATTAAATCATTTGCTGTGGTTCATCTCTCTCGGGTTTGTGTGACTTTCCATGGACGAAGGGATAACCGAGAGACGTCATCCAAAGCCCTACCGCGCCCGATATCTTTGCGCATGAAACGCAATCAATCTCCCCCTTAGCGAGATTTAAGTTTGATAATATTATCAAACTTAAACCGGTGTGATAAAAACGTTGGGGAGTACTGGTATACATAAACGCTTCTGAAATAATAATAAAAGAGTAAAATAAATTTAACCGAATAACATAGTTTTACATAAATTGCAATAAGGCAATATTGTGGGGGCAGAATATTTTCGATTTATTTTAGAGTATTTTCCAATTATTTCAAGGACGTTTTTTAGTCTTCTTTTTTTCGGCATGGGCCCTTGTTTATCTCTTCCTGTTCGACAGACGCCCATAGATATCGCATGACGTCCTTATGGCCCAAACAGTGCTGTGTACCCTATTACGGTCCTTCCCTTGTGCTGAAGAGATGCAGTAAAAGCAGGGGACGCTTCGTTAGCGGAGCGGGAATGTTACTATAACGACGCCCCGGCGCACTCGAGCGGTCAAAGGGGATTCTTTATTGATGGAGAAAATGGCACTATTTATGCGCCCCAATTATCATCGTTTCGAAAGGAGTCGCGAAAGCCCTCCCTTGAGGTTGGAGAAATCACAGAATTATATATATATATTAACCGTTATTCGCCAGCTAAGCTGGGTATTTCATGATGATATATAAATATATATACTATTTTTTATATTTATGTAATTTTTGATATCCAAGTCTAGCATTAAGCGTTCGATTGTTTTGAAAAACATTCTTATCACCCTCTTCTATTAGTTTAAAAAAGGCAGGACGAATTTCTAAAATTGGCGTAGAATTATCTTTTACGCTCCCGTAACTCCTCCAAAGTGGATTCCTGCCAAACCCGTTTTTGGTGCATTTCTACTCAACAAAATATATGTGCTAGCCAAATTTCAAGCAATTCATTATCTCATTTATACTTTACTCTAAAATTTTTAATTTTTTTATCCCTTAAATAAAGAATAAAGAAAAATGTAATAATTATTTTGTTCGTGAATAGATTTGGGAGTCTTCAGAATATGTAGCATCCCTCGTAATTCCCCACGATGATCCCTAATGGTACGGAGACTCGAACCAATGACCACCGGCTACAAAAATTACAATCTTTTCACCAAACTCTAAGGCACTGGCGTAACTAGTCCTTCGAGTTTGATGAGAGTGCGCCCTGTATCCAAAATTCTTGAATGCCCGTTAACATGCTGCAATTTTTTTTTTTTTGCTTACATATGTTGGGGCCCCTGAAGCTCGGAGGCTCGTAACATTGATACTGCTCAAAGGCAATTTACTAATTCGGCTTGATATATATAAAAGATGGAAGGAGGCTACAATAAAATAGCAAATTAAACAAGAGGGAAATAATAGAATCTGGGTTTCTTTTCCTTCATTACTTTTCCAACTATCCAAAGATAAAATTATTCAATTGTAGCAAAATTCAAAAAAAAAAGAGCTCGACATTTATATTTTTATTAAAAAAAGGTTGACAAATTCTCAAAGTAAGCAGAACGAAAAGTAAGCCGCAACCGAAGACAACTGAACAAAAGTGGAGAGAATGAATATTAAATTTAATGTATTTTAATTCAATTTATAACTGAATCTAAATTTGACGCATATCTATTTTAATTCAGTCTCACAACAACATCAATGAAAAGTGCAATTACGTCTCCTGCACGCAGCGGGATTTCAAATGACCGTAACTCTTTCTCCCACCTCTGAGAAGAAATCTTGTGTACAAAACCAAGATAACAAGCACTTCGTTTATTAATACATTCATCCCAATAGAATCAATAAACAAAAACAATAGTATATAAATAATGTAATAAAAATAGAACGAAACACAAAGTCTCTTGATAGTTATGTCAGTACAAAAAATGATAGACATAAAATAATAATTTACAGATGTGTCTAAAAAGTTACACGGATACCTACTGTCGATTGACCTCACCATTCTGAACCTCGGTCAAATGACGAGGACAATACCTAAATCAGTATCCCACTCTACAATCTGGCTCTTCCAACTCACTTGATGACTTTATATCTCGACAGATTGAATGGGCATCAGCCCTTTAAAACGGTGGGTCTTTACCGACCACACAGAGGCAATGCCAGTCACGAGTTTGAGACTATGACCAGGGAGAGTTTTTGTAACATCGCACTATAGTGCAAAACGAGGGCTATTGGATGCCTTCAGCCTGGGTTCCGCGAAGCCCTAGGTTTCCCTGGAACTCTTAATAGGGGTTCAGCAAGAAGTGATCACTATTTGCTGCCAAAATTTTAATAAAGTTTTGATTTTTATAAAAGATTGAATTTCTCAAGGCAGTTATGGTAAAAATTAATATAAAAAATATTTTATCGATAAAATAAAATCTTAAATTTTATTCAAGCATGAATCGCGACAAATCAGTGAGTGAGTATTTACGTGAATATTTACGTCACACTGTTCAGCTACTCCAAAGCTTTTGGTGACGGACCTCGTCATTTTGGATCATGATCAAGCGACGAGGACAACACCTCCCTCTCCTAACTTCCACATCACACCAACAGAAGGACGTTTGAGCCACGACAGATTTAACGTGCATCACTTCCCTACACGGCGGGTCTTCAGCGGTTCTTGGCTCGAACCCATGACACGTCGGCCAGAAGTCCGTTACCTTGACCACTAGGCGACGCGGCCATCGATAAACCAAAAAGCTCGTCAATGAACAAAGGAACAACTTACCGGACATATCAACAGATTCTATCTTCAAGTCTAAATTTATGCATGAATAGCTCCAAAATTTTAGATTGCAAATTTGCAGAATACATATGTAGAAGTTTTTCACACAGTTATAAACATCATAATGCAATTCAGAACGATGTATTTAAGCTGAAAATATTTGGATATATATATATGTGGGGGAAAAACAAAACATAGAAGCAAAGGAACGCAGAATATAAAATACGACTGCAGATAACTTCAGTAGACCTAGACTTCGAAAGTGTGCGTAAAAAATGCAAACACATATCCCAGTTATTAAATACGCAATGGTAGACGACGCCTGTAGCCCGAATTAATGAGTAAATTCATAATATTATGTAACAAAATTTTAAAATGTAAAGCATTTTCTTCAATTATCTTTAATTAAAGTATGTACTTTAAATATTATTTTAAGATATATTCTATTTAGGTACACCGCAAAAAAAACCGTATAATTTCAAGGGTTTCGTGAATCGACAGTTTGAAGACACCAAACCAAACAAAAAAGGTAACAACGTCAAAACATCAGCTTCACTTGCCGACAGCCTCAGACAACTTTTGAAAGCTCTGGACTTTTTCAGATCCGTTTCGAACATGACTCCGGCTGTTTTGTAACAGCTGATGCAATAACTCATTCCGGGATCGCCCACGCCCGACCGGTCTCGGAACCAGTCTTTGCTGAGAAGGAAAAAATATTCAGAGGAATTGTGGTTGTAGGAAATGCCAATCATTCCAAGGGTCAAGCGTAAGAAATCCGAGAAGACAGCGGACGACCGGTTCCTGCGCGTGGCCTTTCAAGGCCACCTCCAGAAGCATTCCGAATGCGCGCAGGTTTGGTTTTGTTCCTCTCATTTTGACCTGTCTGAATTCCAAACGGATGAGGGACAGAATGCACCTGAAGGCTCCGTTCGAAACTGTTCTCGAATGCGATGTGCATTAAGATGTAACAGGTTTAGGTTGGGGCCTACACAAAGTAATGACATTTTCCCATAACTTACTCTTAATGAACTAACTTTTTCACCGAAAGATGTGAAAAACACGGCTTAAAACAATCCGATGTTATCGATACTAATTCTTTCTAATTTAAAACAAAAAAATTGGAAAAAGAAACATATCTTTAAAATAAGAAAAATTGTTGTATACCGCTGATACGGCGTCCAACACGCACTTTAAAAATATCGAAAATTACAGGTGCGCCAGCATTGGAACAGCTTATCCTCAGTGGGCCTAAATCAATAATAGTCCTAAGGGGTCCTTTTTTGGAAATTAAATAAAAACAAGTTACACAAAATATTTCAATTGAAAAATTTTGCATGCACGCATTTCAAAAGAAATGGAAATAACGTTAATGTAGCACTTCAGAAATATCCTGTTTTATTTGCAACATCTTTTTTTAGTTATTATTTTACTTTTTAAAATAGCCTTTTTAAAACTTATTTTTAATCAAAAAAGGGTGCGTGATAGCGAATTCCCTAATTTGTTTGTTTATATTTTTCAATTATATATAAAACTTTTTCCAATTTCTAATTTTTAGGCATACAAAAGTGATATCAATCGAAAGATAATAATGCTAAGAATATAACTAAATAAAAAATAATATTTAGGTAATTTTGTTTTGAAGCGTAACTTCAGAAGCCCGGCGCTGCCTGGGACGGAAAGGGAGAGAGGAAAGGTAAAAGGGAGTGGTAATAAGCGATGCTGACTTGTTCATTTCATCATTTCAATAAAATAGTTCAGGGATTTGATGAAATCACTTACATCAGGGAAATGACCTCAAAGAGACGTTATTTTAACATCTTCCGTGAATTAATCACATCCCTTAGGGATTTAATGAAATCCCTAATTTCATCATTTCCCTGCGACATATACATACGTATGACAGAATCACACTCTTTAGTGACAAAATAGAAAGTGATTTTCCTTGCAATTTTCCATTTTCTTTTCTTTTCATGGTATTGGGCTTTTCTTTGTTTATTATTGCTTATTCGTTCATTAAATTAAACTATTCTAATAAAATAATATTGTAAAAAGAAATCATATTCTCAGAAATTAGGCAATCCCAGGTGGGATTCGAACCCATGACCTTTGTATTAGAAGTCCAACGCGCGATCCATTGCCCTACAGGGACACATTAACAATTTTCCTTTCTATGTATGGTGTTGGACTATTATTTTTGTTGGGGTTACTGTTTATTTTCTATTTAAATTTAATTAATGAATTAATATTTGAAAAACTGTTTTTACATCAAGTGTCATCCACTACAAATTTAAAAAACAGTATTTGAACATGAGTGGATGAACAAAAAGTATTTTATTAATGATTGAAAATTTAAACAAAAAAAAAAGATATAGAGAGAGTGAGTGTGAACTAATAGTAGGAATTGAATGATGCCTTAATAAAACTTATTTGAAACTCCCAGAATGTTTCACATGTTGGGGCACCTGTACTTTGGGGAACCCGTATCACTGATACGGCTGATATGGCGGTAGTTATGCCCCTGTACTCTAGGTGAAAAATAATAGCTTAAAAATTAAGAAAAGATGAGCATTATAAAAAATTAAATTTATTAAAAAAAAATCTTTATGTATAAAAATTACGTGTCACAGTGTGTCCGCGATGGACTGACACTACTCAACCGATCATAATATAATTTTGCGTACTGTGTGTCATTTCGTCCAACTTAAAACATAGGACAGTTTTTATTTCAATTAATGAAGCCATAATTTTTTTATTGCCGGAAATATAAAGAAGACGAGAAAATTCGCAAAATGTCGCAATGCTCATATGTCAGTGCAAGCAGATGTTGTAATCCAAAATGCACGAAAAGTAAGCGCCCGGCGTATTTCGGGATGTGGAATCCGATTTTCGAATCAGTTTCCAAAAATAACCATAACTTTGCAGGATAATGTCGGTCGACCGTATTTTGGACATACCATGGCAGAGGCTTACCTTAAAAGTACTGGATCGTAAACACTTGGTCCCTGGCGTATTTCAAAACGGATAATCCGAATCTGAGAAATAACTAACTTTAATAGATAATTCAGGACGACAGCCTAGTACGCAAACCGTGGCAGGAGCTTACCCTTAAAGTCTTGGTGCGGGAAAAGTGCGTTTCTGGTGTAATTCGGGATGGTGAACGAAAGTCTGAAATCAAATTTTAGAAATTCCTGTAACTTTGCCAGATGATGCCGGAGGACCGAACTATTCGTGGACAGCAGCACCAGCCTAACTTTTTAAAGTAGAGATGCATAAAGTAGGCCTTGGACGTATTTCGAGACTGCCGATCCGAATATTCTCAATCCAAGACAGGCCAGACGAACGTATTTTACGCGAACCGTGGCAAGTGCGTGCTTTGTAATTCTTTTGAAGTGTGAGAGAAGCTTTCCTGGGTGTGGAACAGGAATCTCTGAAATCGGATTTTAGAAACTCCCGTAACTTTGCCGGATAATGCAGGACTACCGTAATGTCCCCGTTCAAGGATTGAACTTATAGGAGTAGGGGTGTCGAAAGAGGGCACCGAGTACTTCTCGGGGTGGGGAAAGAGAATCTGGATTTGGATTTCAAAACATTCCGTAACTTTCCTGAGTATTGCTGGAATGAGGTCGAATGGCTAATCCCACCTCCGGATTTTCCTTCCCTAAAGCAACTAAACTTGCACACACAGACACAGCCTTGCGAAAATACAATTGCAATAGGAAATTGCATTGGCAATTGCATCTTCGGGCACTGTTGTCACTTTGATATATGGTGGAAAAACTGCACATTCCGCATCAAGCGGCCATTGTACATTCATAAGGTACAAGATGTAATGTGCACCATTGAAAAAAAGAGCGGATTAGCTACAGTATTCCAAATGAACTCAATCATGATCAGGGATAAGTGTACCGAGACCCATAAACATTCACTCAAACATTACACAGAACTTTGTAAGATTTAAATGGCAACGAGAAAGTATTCGGTGGTGCTGTCGTACTACTGTCTGGTGATTTCCGACAGACATTAACAGTCATTCCTTGCTCTACGTTTGCTCACGAGATTAACGCATGTTTAAAACAAATGTTTTTATGGCGAAACATGGAAACACTTCAATTGACCATAATTGACACTCGAATACATTTGCAACATGATCAATCTGAGCAAATATTTTCTAACCATCTGCTGAATATTGGAAACGGTGAAGTAGAACTTCATCCCAATACATAATGCATGAAATAGCCAGACAATTTCTGTACTGTTCTTCAGACAAAAAGGAACTGATTGAGAGTGTCCTTCCGAATATACTGTATAATTATCTAGATAATTATTGCCTCTGTAACCCTGTTACTTAATCAGATAAAATGTTGATATTATTGCGAACGGAGACAGAAGGGAGTGTACGAAGAGGAGTTACGAGCACATGACATACGAGAGCGCCTGGGTTTCTCTTCTCGCCTGGTGGCAACAGGGGGAGATGACACGCTCCGAAAGAGGGAAAGAGATGATTCCTCTAGATGCGTTTGGACGGAGGAGACGGCATTTTCAGCGTGCGTGATAATATTTAATCTTTTTTATGCATCCATGTAAATAGAATAATAAATGTTTTATTTAACTGAGAAATGCTCGTCGCCACATCTTTTGTTATAGACTCAGTTTATAATTTGTAAATGTGTTCTGTTTCGAGAATCTAATTTTATATTGGACATTTTTCTGGCTTCCCCGGGTAGGCAAAGAGTGTTAGAAAAACAATTTTGAATATTAGAAAGTAAAACATGGTTGCTTTAAAACTAAAACGCACGCCACTTGGGACAGCCTTCACGAAGGCTGTAAATCATTTACAAGAAGTCGCCGAAAATGAGCAACTAGATAAAAATGCCTTAGAAATTGCTTTCGAGCAATTAAAATTAAAAAATAAGACACTAAGACCAATAAATTAGTCTATTTTAGATATGTTAAGCGAAACGAATTGCTCGTAAGAAGCTTACAACAATGAATTTGATGTTATTGAAAGTTATGTCGAAAAAATGATTTCATGGCAAGTGAAGTTCAACAACCTTATCAAGAAGGATCTATCGGGACAGAAAGATAACCATTGCTCGATCACATCGTCTTCCGAAGATTACTTTCAATCAATTTTCCGGAGATTTGACGGATTTTCTCAGATTCTATAACCAGTTTGAGAGAATCCATGAAAATAAAAACCCTCTCCTCCTCCCCCACACACATACATAAGAAAGGTCTGTGTACAGTGGATAACATGAAAAGTTCGTCTTATTCTTCTTTCGGTAGGTCTTTAGACACATCACCGAATTCTGTTTCATCTTTTCAACGTCACTTGTTACTCTCTGACCCATAAGTAATCATCTTCGGTTCCATTACATCGTTAGATGCACTATACTCTCTACTTTTTAATTATACTAGGTTCATTTTCACATATTCCATGCTTTTACCATTTATACTCGCACACAATATCTAGACTTCAAAAGAAAAGAGCATTGCGCAAGTACGTTTTAGGTTTCGTTGTAAAAAAGGGGGGGGACGCGTTATACGACGAATACATGTAAAAAAAAATTTTTTTTTAAGTAGTTTGTAATTATAAGTGTATGTATTTACGCCGTAATATACGGTGCGTGAAAACTGTCCGAATTTAAATAAGGGTGAACTGACCGAATTTCTAAAGTGGCCTTAAACAAGGGGGCGTGAGAGCCTCCAGAAGTTTTAAGGGGATGGATTGGGAGTGAAAAAGAAGGCCTGAGACGGCCCAACAAGAAAGGTGCGAAAAGATAGTTATGTTAACGCCGCACTACAAAGCCACACGAGGGCTACTGGCGATGGACCTGGTCATTTCGAAACTCGCTCAAGTGACGAGGACGACGCCTGAGCTGGCACCCCCTCCCCTTCTCCTAATCAAAAGTGCGAAAAGAAAAAGCGACCTCTGCTTGGCCATTTTGGCGGATCTTGGACAGTGGAAAGAGCTACGACAAAATATCGGATAGATATGTGTGGGAAGTGACTTACCTCTAGTTACAATAGTTATGCGTGTTAACATTATTAAAAGCTGTACAAAAGAAATTTTTCCTAGAACTGCGTGATCCATCTCACTGTCTCGATGTTAAAGCTTGCAAGAGTCACTACTCGTACAAGCAGTTCAAATCACACATTCAGAGTCTTTTGACAGTAAACGTAAAACCTTTCTGACATGGTTTGTGCCGGTTTATCCATTAGGTGCTTGGGCGGGCGCCCTGGGGCTCAGATAAGCTGTACTTAACCAGGTTTTCTGGTTATAGGTTTCGATCCGTCAGTGCCAAAAGGGGCTGCAGATCTTCCGAGCCCAGAGCCCGAAATGAGCTTAAATTGGCACTGGACATGGTCTATTAATAATTCTGTACGTTTCATCTTTAAAATTGTACGGGGGTTGAGATGGATGGATCACTTCCTCGTGATTTCTTGAAATTATCAAAACACAGTTTAAACGTTCCCCCTCGTTTTCTGAATACCCGCAATCGTTGTTTCGAAACTTGAGGGAGTAAAATCAGAAATGGGCTACTCACGGCATACTTGAACTGAGCATTGAAGTCAGGATCGTTGGCACGAACACGCCGCTCCGTCTCTGGAAAAAAGAAAAATGGTTAACAAGAGAAATATACGCAGAACCATCTACCGACATTCCATATATTTTATTGAGAAGTGCTAAATGGCAAACACGGAATCAATTCAAATTGTGGCGTTTTATGTGGACAGCTCGTTGAAATTACTTTTCACCTTTACACCAAAATTATTTAAAAGATTAAAGGATCGTTCTAAAGGAATATCTTATAAACAGAAATATAAATAAGTACCTATGTGCGGTGTGCTATTGTTCTGTAAATGGGAAATAAAAACAAAAAAGAATTACATTAATCCTAATTTTAATAATACACTATGTTGTTAATTGTGTACCATATCAAAATAACAATTGTATTTGTGTGACTTTAATTACTAATTTCTAATAATTTCTAAAATTGAAGTAAAATGATTTTTTGAGCTCTCGTAACCCAGTGTAACCCAGTGGATTTTCGCAAAACCAATTTTCACAGTGGATCTCTACTCCGTAAAATAAACATGCGTGTCAAATTTCAAGTCTAAATCTAATAGAGCAAAAACGGAATTTTT